ACAGGAGAGATTTCAGAACACAAAACGAGCAGGGTTTTAACCTTTGGTGTCCGAAATTATACCCCGTAAGTCGTTCAGGGTGACAAAAGTTACGAATGCGAGGAATTTCTTTCAAATTGATAGTTTTTGAGTTGGAAGAGCTATTCCGGGGATTGGGGCCAGCTTCGAAATGAAATATTTGGCTTCGAACCAAGATCTTGACGTCAGAAAATCAATAACAACGGCTTTCGAAATACATAATCAGTCGAAGCCTAGTTTATCTGCTTAAAGTTTGGCTAAAATTGCTTGATTATGAGGTCTGTTTGGAATCAAAGTAACGACCTTCGGAGCAAACCCTAGTATTCTCTGAGTATGAGAAGCGCTGTTCAGAGCATACTACATCTTAAAAATGCTGAATGCCAAACGTATTGTTACTTCAAAAAATCCAAAGACCGTTTGAAGGTTATCAGTCAAAATGACTCTTTAGGAAGAAGGGCTACTGTTCGAAACATCCAGACCATCATTGGTTTCTGTATGCCGCAAGTGGGAATTGCCATAGGTTTGCCTTGAAAGCCAAAGAGATCAAGTTTAAAATGATTGGCTATATCAACATGAAACCATAATATTGGTTTACAGTTAGTGTTGAAAAAAGTAAAGTCATTGAAATCGAAGTACTAAAATATATCTGCCAGAATTGTCAATTATACCTCCATGATTGGACAAAGACATGATTGGTTCTTTAGTTCTTCATTGGAACAGTTGAGTCGAAAGGAATGAGATCTTGTTCAATCGAAGTTATGCAGTTAGCTTTTAGAGATGAAAGGAAATAGAGTCAAACAGTGTTGAGTCACAGAAAGAGTTGTGTGTGTTATATAAGCCAAGATGAGTTACAATTAAGTAACTCTATCTGGGCACAAATTCAAGCTCATAAAAATAAGGAATAGAATGAAATAAAAGGTCAGTGGAATTTTGTCAGCAATGGTCAATAAATTTCTGTTCTTTCTTTATGTGATTTCTTCTATCTCTTCTAAAGTTAATTGGCATTAAGCTGATGAGCTTCTCATTCATAATAGAGTTTCTTCAGGCCTTTGGCTTCAAGCCTCTTCCTTGATTTTTGTTCCAATCATCTATACCAAATCATCCCAGTAATGCAGAATCTTTATTCTGCCAGTCATCGAACTCTTCGATAAAATTCTCTGCTTCATATTGGGCCATGAATTCGGAAGAGATAAGAGTTGATCCAAATTTTGGATGGTGATTTTAGAATTTCGATGCCAGTGAGGAGCACTGGGATTGGTCCAAAACAATGAAGCCCTGCTTGGGCAATAGGGTTGAGAAACATGACCTCTAGTCAAGTATCACAAAGCCATTGAAAGTTCTTAAGAGGAATGTCCATCCTCAAGAACATTGAAGGCAGATTGGGAGAAAGCCGCGAGCAAAAGTTGAGCTTGCTTTCGCTCGGCTGGAGAAGGGGGTGACGGAGCTTTGGTCAGGTGGAGAAGAACCTTGTCCATTGGAAGGGCAAGTCTTTAGTTTTTTCTGTCCAGGAAAGGATGGGAGAGGAGAAGGGAAGATGACTCTGCTTCAGAGACGAAGGGGAAGGAGCAGGTGTTTCTATCTCAGAAGATGCAGATGCAGGAAGCCGGTGTGGATGCTTTCTATTATTGGGAGATGGCACGGGAGCAGAAGAACAAGGCATTCATGTAGTCAAGCCAATCAGAAGAACAAATCTTCGCTTTTTGGCTAAAATGAAGAGGGGTGCCCCTTGTGCTTCTTCTGGACGCCTGGGCAGGGTGCAATTATCTTCGTAGGCATGGAAAGCAAGTATACCAAGCCACAAGCAGCATTCTCCTCCAAGCTACGTCGAAGGTCAATGGCACCGTAAGGGTAAAGCCCATGAGCTTCGAGCGTAGGAGGAAGACTCCAAGGGGTCAGGTAAATCAACCAAATGGTGATTGATTCGCTCTCCTTAGATCATAAGTCTCAGCGAGCGAACCAGCTTGTCCAGCCAGAAGCTCCAGAGGATGAAGAGGTCACAGTTTCATCCCATGCAGAGGTCTGTGAAGAAGAAAGTTTCCTAGATCCATATTTTGCAACTTGTCGAAGCAAAGGCTCGAGGTAGTTCGTCGAATACAAAGGGAGCTTAGGGGAAGAACTCTTTGTATCTGTAAGTTTTGTAAACCAAAGGATTAAAGGCAATGTGTTCATGTCCAAACGTTTATAATCTGCAAAATGCCTCCATTACCTGAATAATAGGAGGGCGGGTAAAGGTGGCTAATGAATGCGTGGAGGTTCTTTCGAGGGGGAACAACATCACTCCCAAAGCTCTTTCATTATGGCTTGATCAAATAAACGGGAAGTTGATGGCAGCCATAGCCTGTTCGAATACTAAGGTATTGGGATGTTCCGATTCGAGTTAATGCAGATTGATTCAAAATGGATGACGGTTGGTGTTTCCAGAATATGGACTCCAATACAGTTCTGGAACAGCGCGGGAAAACTGGCAATCCACTAATATCACCAGTATTTGGGTATGATTAGTGCGGGGGGTAATGTTGCTACATATTTTTAAAAGCCAGTTGCAGTTCGACACGTGGCCATAGTAAGGGTAATAAAGGAAGGTTAATTCAAGCCTTCATCCTGATCGTACATGTGGCAATAACTATTGGTCCTCACATGATCTGAGTAACACTCAGATCAAATAACGGGATGCAAGATGACGTGGTCTTCAACGGTTACTCAATTCAAATCCAGTACAAAGAGGAAGCTCAACTGCCAGTAATGGCGTACATGGAGCTACTTTTAAGGAAGCATGATCCGCGATCATGGAGGAGCGGTCGACGGATCGAAGTGCAGTTTCGAAGTCATCACTGACGATATAAAATAGCAGACAGCCCCCAGGAAAAAGACGGAATCAGATCATAATCAAACCAGTCATTACTTCTATATTTTCTTTTTCCAGTCATTTCCATTTCAGTCTTTAAATCACCTGTTCTTAAATACCTGCACTTTAAATACAAGCACTGCACTTCGATTTCATAGGAGTTATGCTTCAAGTAGATTCAGTAGATTGTTTGTAACCTCTCTGAGGCTGAGTTCGGACCATTGTAAGTGTTCCATTTTTATGAAATACTTCAATTGTGTCTCATATTAACTGTTATTTTTCTATTAACTTCTCCTAAAATCAAGCCACCAGTAAAAGTCTCTCATTGAGGCTGAAAAGAACTAAAAACACAATCGTGCTGATAATTGGTTTGGCAATCACAATTTCCTGTAAGGACTGATTGATCTTGCTGGCACTCTCACAGTTCACAAAAACACCCTTCGAAAAGGCCAAAAAGCCAACAGTACCAATCAAAGCATCGGATCATTCGAAGATCAAGAGTTGTTTCGAAGGTTGTTACTTCACGCTTCGAAGCTGTATAAAGCTTTGAAGATACATTCGAACCATCACAGAGTTGTTTTCGAGGTTTGATTTAACTTCCCTTCGAACTGTTAAAGCTTTTGAAAACTTTTCGAAATGTGTACATCTCTTCAAGTATAATGCTAAAATGACAATTAAATTAGTTTATCGCGAATAATGCCTACTTTTGGCATGATTAAGTTGGTTCGAAGACAACGGTTTTGGTGTCTTCGAAAAATAATAACTAAGTTCGAAGCACAAAATCATATTTTCATTAATTATGTACTGAACCGAACATACAAAATGTGAATAACTATAATGTTGGCCAAAAGTTGCTTCAAAGGCTCTTTTGCCTTAATTTCGTAAGCTCCGAAGCACTCCATCTTGCATTAATAGCTTCGAAGAAACAATAATGGTGGTTGTGAACCTTCGAAACTTTGCCGAGTATTTCTAAGGATGTAATTTGTCCTTTGTCGGCACTTTCAACCTTCGAAAGATGATTTTGGTCCTTTGTACCACCTTCGAAGCTTGTTACTAGTTCATAATAGCTAGCATTCGAGACATCTAGTCATAATGTCATACTCATTCGAAACACTTCATTGGTGCTATTATATCATTCGAAGCACTTTGTTGGTATTATTCAAAGCATTTTATTGCTTAGATTAGTCATGTGCTTGGTTCGGCCCTTCAAAAATTCAAGTAAACATCATTTTTAAGGGCCGCGGGGGATAATGTTAGCACCATAAATCTGCAATTTTTATTATTATTTATTATTTATAAAATTGCAGGACACGTGTCATCTTTTTATTCATTTGGAAGTTAAAAGAAGTTATAGAGACAATGGAGAATATGAAGGACAAAGTGGATGAGTGGGAAGACAAAGTGGATGAGTGGGAGGACACACGGCAAGACAAGAATGAAGATGGAAGAAATGGGTAGTTACTAAATAGTTATTGCTGTATTTTTTCTTCTATAAATAGCCATTAATGGTTACATTGTAAAGGATCCAGAACTTAAATCAAAGACAATTGATTTCAATATTTCTTGTCATTTTCCTTATCTTAGGAGTAGTTTAACATAGATTTATATTTCGAAGCATTTATTTTCAGCATTTTCATTTCGAAGCATTTTATGCACTTTCTTTTCGAAGCATAGGAGTAGAGGTAAGTATTTATTACTTTGATTGTTCACTCAATCATCTTTCTCCGTCCCTTTTTCTTCTTTTACTTTTTCTTTTCGCTATACTTGGCAAATTTGAAGTCCTCTTCGTTGAGGCAAAAGAACCGTCAACACAATCGCTTGATAATTGGCTTGAATTTAATCTATAAGGATTTTTCAATCCTTACTGACACGCTCGTATTTATGATATTTTCCTTCGTAGGAAAAATAAGCCAACAACTACTCCCATAATAGATCCCTATGTGACATGCACACATCTCAAAGGAGAGTGAAGCCATGTAGGAAATACTACATTACCTGTTTTAAACAGTGAAAGATGTGGTTTAAGTGAAACTTTAAGCTTACCTTTGTCATTGATCCCGACTATTTTATACATCCCCACCTTTTATTTAGTTCCCTCTCCATTTCCGTTACCTTAAAATATCCCTCTTTTTTTTAGTGTGTGCTTTTAATCCAGCGTGGGCAAGGGAATACAAATGATGTTCTGAGACCACCTTGTGTCTCTTCTCTGTTGGGCACTCAAATTGAAGGAATTGCCGCTGGATTATGGCATACAATTTGTATATCTGTTGAAGGTCAACGGCATGCCTTTGGTGGAGATCAGTTCAGTAAGTTGGGAACGGGTACTGATCAGTCTGAGGTACAATTAACAATGCACCCCGTTGTTTACCAATAGCTTTCATGCCTACTGTGTTGGATTTCATTTTATAAATTTCTTGAGGAGGCTTCAAAAAAATTTACTGTCGCCTTTCCTCATCTGTTGCAGAATCTACCTAAACTTTTGGATGATGATCCATCATTGAAAAATAAACACGCAAAATTATATCTTGTGGAGCTCGTCATAGTTCCATACTATGACTCAACAACTTGTAAGTAATAGGGAGTGGATCGAAAGATTAATCTATTTAGAGTCATGGATATCAATTTGTTCCAAGAACACCTAATCTCATCTCTATGCTTTTGTGGTTTTTGAAGAGGATGGAACAGTATACTGCTGGGGATGGAACAAGTATGGCCAGGCAACCAGTCAGCCAATAAAATCGAAGTACAGTCATAATACCTCTTTCTTTCTTCTAAGCCTTTAGGCCATGTTTGATTCACAATACTAATAGTGAGGTATTAAT